GGTCAAAACATAACGAGAGAATTATTGCTAATGGATTGCCGGCATTAAAGGAGTTCCAGTTGTTTACTCCCTCTCCGTTCGCCAACTTATATATGACACCCAAAGAGCTCGACTACACAGACATCAGACCATTGCCCGACACTTTCCATAGATTTGATTATTTTAAACGTTCGGGAAATTTGGATACTTTTGAATTACCGGAAAAACTCAAGAATAAATCGGGAAAATTAATTTATCTATCGTTGGGTTCAATGGGAAGCGGAAATGTGGAGCTAATGAAGAGATTGGTTGCAATTTTAGCCAAATCTAAGCACATATTTATTGTCTCCAAAGGTGTAAATCATAACAAATATGAATTGCCTGACAATATGTGGGGCGATAGGACTGTCCCACAAATTAAAGTGTTACCACTCATTGATCTGATGCTAACCCACGGCGGGAACAATACTGTGACCGAAACCATGTATTTCGGGAAACCAATGATAGTAATGCCTTTATTTGCCGATCAATACGATAACGCACAGAGAGTTATGGAAAAAGGATTTGGCCTCAGAATCAATCCCTACGAGTGCTCTGAACAACAATTATTGCAATCCATTGAAAATGTATTGAATGACAAAATTATTGCCGAAAATTGTGAGAAAACATCGAAACGAATGCAAAGCGAAAAATCTATCGAAAAACTTGTTAAATTGGTTGAAAGTCTTGTCAAATGATTAAAATTATTATTAAAATATAGAATATATGTAATTTCAAGAAACTTATAAAAATATTACTAATAAAAAATACTGATGTTTATTAGATTTAAAAAAATAAATATTTAATATTAAAAGTTTTAATTAGTATTTGGCATTATTTTTTATTCAATAAATACACGATTGTTTACACATTCATCACATTCTTAATGTAAATGCAAATAATTAATTGGATTTAGGAATACAATTAAGGAAATAGGAAAAATCTATTAAATTGCATCTACTAATAATTAAATTAAATTAAGTATTTGATTGGTTAGTTTTACACCATATAACCTTGTTAGTGCATATTTTACACTAATTTAATCTAAACAACGTTAGTGAACATAATTTTAAAACCATTGATACATCTATTTGTTGCCATTATCTTTATTATAAGTATTATATGATAAGATATTTAACTCAATTAGTTTTATATAGCGTTAAGTACACTAAATATTGCACTTTTATCTGCTTATAAGACCGAATAAAGTCCGCACTAAAACACTTATAATTAAAATATAAGTATTATAACAGTTATATAAACTCTCAGTTGAGTTAAACCAATCGTCAAAGTTGTTGAAACAAAGAATGGGTAAAAGAAAGTTAACAGTTCTGTTCGCTCCGGGCTATTACGTGGGGGCCATTATGTCGAGCATAGGTATGGCCGAAGTGTTGCGGGACAGCGGCGGACACCGGTGTGTGTTTGCGGTGACCGACGACTGGAAGTCACGGCTCGAAGCGATCGGCTTTGAAGTGAAAGTTGTCGGCGAGAAAGTGGACGGAAAGGGAATGCAAGAGAATAATGTGGAAGAGTTGACTAAAAACGGGACACTTTCACAGTTAACTCCAATGGAAAAATTGGTGGCAAATATTGAATTTTTTTACAATTGCTTTATTATGGCTGAGAAAGAGACGGATCCATACGTGAAGACCATAATCGCTGACACGAAACCAGATATTATTATTTCCGACAATTTAATAACACTTCCATCGATAGTCACATCAGGTATTCCCTGGATATTCAGTTGGAGTAATAGTCCTCTATCTCTGGACTTTGGCATAAATGATGAACGTTTACCACCATCTGCTTTAGGTATGAACTTAAGGATCAATTATTAATAAAATAAATGTTTTTTTTACTATATTACAACAATAAAATATTATAAATATTATTTAAAATATCATACAATAAATATAATTAAATGTGATTTTTTATTTATTATAAGGTTTGCCAACAAATAGTGAGAAAAAAGTGAAAGAAAAATACAGAAAATTAGTAAACGAAGCGAAAGCCAAACTTTGGTATAAACATAGGGATAGAGTGATTGCCAACGGATGTCCAGTTCTCCAAGAGTTCCAGTTGTGGACTCCCTCTCCCTTCGCTAACATATATATGACACCCAAAGAGCTCGACTACACAGACATTAGGCCATTGCCCGACACTTTCCATGGATTTGATTGTTACAAGCGTTCAGGAAATTTAGATGATCTTGATGCTTTTGAATTACCTCAAAAGTTGAGCAATAAATCGGGAAAATTGATATATCTATCGTTGGGTTCAATGGGAAGCGGAAATGTGGAGCTAATGAAGAAATTGGTTGCAATTTTAGCCAAATCTAAGCACAGGTTTATTGTCTCCAAAGGTGTGAAACACAATGAATACGAGTTGGCGGACAATATGTGGGGCGAGAAAAGTGTCCCTCAAATTAAAGTATTACCACTCATTGATTTGATGCTAACCCACGGCGGGAACAATACTGTAACCGAAACCATGTATTTCGGGAAACCAATGATTGTTTTGCCCCTATTTTTCGATCAATACGATAACGCACAGAGAGTTACCGAAAAAGGGTTTGGGGTTAGACTCGATCCCTACGAGTGCTCTGAACAACAATTATTGGAATCCATTGAAAATGTATTGAATGACAAAACTATTGCTCAAAATTGTGAGAAAACATCAAAAAGAATGCAAAGCGAAAAGTCTATCGAAAAACTTACAAAATTAGTCGAAAGTCTTGTTAAATAATTTAAATAACTCGTTAAATTAATTAAAAATATTATAGTAATTAAGTTAAATTGTAAGTGGATTTTAAATGCTAATTTACCTGTTTTATTGAAAATACTTAAGTATCCTATAATCGGTAATAGTTTTAATTATTATCTTTAAATTATTATTAAATTAAATGTTAAATCAATGAACACTACATATTACACACATACAAACTTTATATTATACAGTTTGTATATCCTATGTTTGCATGTATTAAAATGCCCTGAGTAAATTTTTGATTTAAATAAAAATTTAGTTAAAGCAATTTTAATATAAAAATTGTTTATCAATTTAATAAATTTTATTTTAGAAAAAGTAATTTTAATGCATGATGATAATATATCAATACACAACATACGAAAAAAGTTATCAACTACTATATCGAGCCTAAAACTCCCTGATTATTATGTTGAGATTAAATCCTTAATCCTTAGAGAAAAATTTAAAAGATAAATAAATCCCTAATTATGTTGAATAATAAATATAACTGTACAAACTTTGCACTTGGTATAATATACTGCACTTTACATAACATAATGTACTCGATTGGGTGCAAACGTTGGGTACACACATTAAATGCATTTAAAAATTATCATACGTATATATAGCAATCCATTTATTAATTTTATAATTTATATTTACCGTATACTGTATATACTTTACACTACATATTGTTTATAAGAAATAAAATGTTTAATTTAAAATTGAATTTGCAGACGGGCTGCGCTTCCTTTACTCTACTCCTCATTCTCTCACTCAATACCACAGATCTGTATAATCCTATAATCTCTCATTAGATCTGTTATCTATTTAATCACTTATTATAATCCAAACTTTGTATAAAAATACTATCATATGTTATTTGTATTCCTATTATGGGTTGACATATAAGACGCCCACAGAGAGAGACATAACGACAGTCTAGTGGTGACTCTCACACAGAGCACCTCATACTCTCTCTGCTCTCGTCTCACTTCATGTAACGCCCACTCAATCCATATTCAATGTATGATTTAATTGTTGTTCGTTTTATTAAATACTATTTTAATTAACATACGATTACGAGTGCGGTTATTGAACAGCGATTCATGGATCTGCTGGTCATTCAGTAATTTAGTAGTTCTTACAGCGGGTCTCTGTGTTTGGCATAAGGCCTAATACACCCTCAACGCAGCGCCCGACTGCAAATTGACCACTAATTATGACTAACAAACAGTTAACAGTGTTGTTCGCACCGCTCTCTTTTGTGGGGCCAATGATGTCGAGCATAGGTATGGCTGAAGTATTGCGAGACAGCGGACACCGGTGTGTGTTTGCGGTGACCAACGATTGGATCGCTAGACTCGAGTCAATGGGGTTTGAGACTAAATTAGCTGAAAAGCCCGTAAACGTGAGCACTACTAAAAAATGTGTCGTCGATTCGGCAAATAGTAATGCAAACGATTTGTTGAAAATGGGAGGACTCGACAATATATCTCCGTTTCAAAAAGTGGTCAATAGTTTTGAGTTTGTATTTAATGTGTTTATAAAAGGCGAAGAAGAGACGGATCCGTATTTAAAGCTAATTATATCCGATTTAAAGCCAGACGTTATTATTAGCGATCATATCGTGAATCTTTCATCGATAGTCAACTCTGCTATTCCCTGGATATTCAGTTGGAGTAATAGTCCCCTATCTCTCGATTATGGCTATGAAGACAATTCTCTTCCGCCCTCTTTCTTAGGTAAAAGCTATGCTTTAAATATAATTACATTTATGTTTATTATTTCAATTATAAGGTTTGCCGACAAATAGTGAGACAGAAGTGAAAGAGAAATACAGAAAACTATTGAATGTAGAAAAACAAAAGATTTCGTTTAAAATAAACCAAAGATCAAAAACTAACGGAATGTCAGCACTAAAAGAGTTTCAGATCTTTACTCCCTCTCCGTTTGCAAACTTATATTTGACGCCTAAAGAGCTCGACTACACAGACATCAGGCCATTGCCCGACACTTTCCATAGATTTGATTACTACAAGCGTTCGGGAAATTTGGATACTTTTGAATTACCGGAAAAACTGAAGAATAAATCGGGAAAATTGATTTATCTATCGTTGGGTTCAATGGGTGGCGGAAATGTAGAACTTATGAAAAGATTGGTTGCAATTTTGGCCAAATCTAACCATAGATTTATTGTATCTAAAGGTATACATCATAATGAATACGACTTACCGGGCAATATGTGGGGCGATAGGACTGTCCCTCAAATCAAAGTGTTGCCGATCTGTGATCTGGTCATAACCCACGGCGGGAACAATACTGTGACCGAAACCATGTATTTTGGAAAACCAATGATTGTTTTACCCATTGTTTGCGATCAATACGATAACGCACAGAGAGTTATGGAAAAAGGATTTGGGGTTAGACTCGATCCCTACGATTGCTCTGAACAACAATTATTGCAATCCATTGAAAATGTATTGAATGACAAAACTATTGCTGAGAATTGCAAGAAAGCATCGAAACGAATTCAAAGCGAAAAGTCTATCGAAAAACTTGTTAAATTGGTTGAAAATCTTGCTAAATAATTGAATTAAATTAATCTAATATCAAACAATGTTTATTTGTTGTTTAAAAATACTGTACATAAAGTTTATCAATAAAAAATATCTTTAGATGATTAAATCAAAACTGCTAAATATTAAAGTGCTTGTGCTTTATATTCATAGACACCTTATAATATTATCAATAATATTTAGCACATGTGCGTATATAATAATAATATTATAATTATAATATATTATATTATAATGTATTATTATATGTATCAAGTATAGAATAGTATTATAGATTATAATGTATAGTATTAAAAATACTGTATAGTAATTAGCAATAAAAATACTAATTAGCATTATTACAAATTGTAATTTACAATATAACAGTCCAGTGATAGTCCAGATAGTCCAGTGAGTAGACTGTAGAGGAGAGTAACTGATATATTAAGATTATGATAAAATATTGTTCAAAATGCAAATTAAGTTTAAATTCACTTTATCGTATGATTGGACATCATCATAGCCTTGATCAAAGTATAAAATTATAATGTTAGTTTTTATATTTATAAAATTTATAGAACAGTTATTTTATATTTATGTAATTAATAATTACTAATTATGTAAACAAGTGACAATGCACCTGGTAACATAAAATGCACTTGGTCAATAGGAACTTTTCCTACTATGAAGTGCAAATTATATGATATTAAAAAATACTATATAAATCATTGTAAAAAAAACTTATATATAAATGTTTAAAATTCCGAAATCAAAAGTATTTGAAGTTTTAAAATTCAAAGATGTCTATTCAAAATCTAACAGTGCTTTTTGCACCCGAGAATTTTTTTGGTCCAATAATGTCGGGCATAGGTATGGCTGAAGTGCTGCGGGACAGCGGCGGACACCGGTGTGTGTTTGCGGTGACCAACGATTGGATCGCTAGACTCGAGTCAATGGGTTTTGAAACGATATTAATTGAAAACTCTGTGGACGTCGACAATGAAAAGTCTGTCACCGATTCGGCCGATAGTAATGTTAGCGTATTGTTGAGTACGGGTGCGATGGGAAACATATCGGCGTTTGACAAAGCGGTCGGTATTATAAAGTATTTGTGCGAAGAGTTTATTCCATCGGAACTAAAGTCTGATCCATATATGAAAAAAATTATAACCGATCTAAAGCCCAGTGTTATTATTACCGATTGTTTGGTAACACTTCCATCAATAGTAAATTCAGGTATTCCTTGGATATTGAGTTGGAGTGGATGTCCGCTATTACTTGACTTTGGTTATGAAGATAACACACTTCAACCATCGCTTTTGGGTACGGGTTTTGTTTGTAAAAAAATAATTTGATTTTAAACACAATTTTTATTTATAAGGTTTGCCGACAAATAGTGAGACAGAAGTGAAAGAAAAATACAGAAAACTATTGAATGAAGAAAAACAAAAGTTTTGGTCTAAACATAACGAGAGAATCATTGTTAATGGATTGCCGCCACTAAAAGAGTTCCAGTTGTTTACTCCCTCTCCGTTCGCCAACTTATATATGACACCCAAAGAGCTCGACTACACAGACATCAGACAATTGCCGAATAATTATCATGGATTTGATAATTTCAAGCGTTCGGGAAATTTGGATGTCTTTGAAATTCCCGAAAAACTCAAGAATAAATCGGGAAAATTAATATATCTATCATTGGGTTCAATGGGAAGCGGAAATGTGGAGCTAATGAAAAGATTGGTTGCAATTTTGGCTAAATCTAAGCACAGGTTTATTGTTTCCAAAGGTGTTAATCATAATGAATATGAATTGGCAGACAATATGTGGGGCGATAGGACTGTCCCACAGATTAAAGTGTTACCAATCATTGATTTGATGCTAACCCACGGCGGGAACAATACTGTGACCGAAACCATGTATTTCGGGAAACCAATGATAGTTTTGCCTCTATTTTTCGATCAATACGATAACGCACAGAGAGTTATGGAAAAAGGGTTTGGGGTTAGACTCGATCCCTACGAGTGCTCTGAACAACAATTATTGCAATCCATTGAAAATGTATTGAATGACAAAACTATTGCTGAAAATTGTGAGAAAGCATCGAAGAGAATACAAAGCGAAAAGTCTATCGAAAAACTTACAAAATTAGTCGAAAGTCTTGTTAAATAATTTAAATAATTTGTTAAATTAATTTTAGATTTAGTAATTTCTAATCCTATAAAATTCAAACAAACTTTGTAATTAATATTAAAATTATAAAAAATTAAATGATGACAATTATTGTAAAAATTAAATTGAGATTGTAATTAAAATTCATAAATATAGAAAGGTTACTATTAAAATATAACAATACACAATTATATACAATATTAACATTTTAGCCAAAAATAAATTTTTTGATTTTTGAAATAATGAGGAAATCTGTATTTAAATTTATTAGAATTTGTAAACAACAGTAAATTATAAAACAACAAAACAAGTATAAAAATACATTGGTTGAAAAAAGTATAAATATTGCACTTGATTCTACATATTGGACTTGGGATACAGTGTATCCGATACACAATACACTTAACATTTAAGTTAACAATAACCTTGTAAAAATAAACTGTATAAGTACATAACATAACATACATGTATGTATCATATCTTAGATATGGAGAGATTTAATACTCAACTATTTCATAACACACAAGTATATAAGTAAATAAGAGTTTGAATGCAAATCAATAGTAATTGAAATTTGTAAAATCTAAAAATGACTAATAGGAAGTTAACAGTGCTTTTCGCCCCGCAATGCTTTTTTGGGCCAATAATGTCGAGCATAGGAATGGCTGAGATTTTGAGAGACAACGGCGGACACCGGTGTGTGTTTGCGGTGACCAACGATTGGATCGAGAGAATCGAGTCAATGGGTTTTGAAGCAAAATTGGTTACAAAACCAATTGATAGTGCAAATGGTGCCAATGGTGCCACTGATTCGGCCGATAGTAATGTTGACGTAGCGTTCAGTACGGGTGCGATGGGAAACATATCACCCTTTGATAAAGCGGTCTGTTTTGTAGAATATATGGTTAAAGAGTTCATAGAATCTGAAAAACTGAATGATCCGTATCTGAGAGCAATTATAGCTGATCTTAAGCCCGATGTTATTATCAACGATAATTTGGTAACACTTCCATCGATAGTCACTTCAGGTATTCCCTGGATATTCAGTTGGAGTAGTAGTCCTCTATCGTTAGACTTTGGATACGAACATAAAGCTCTTCCGCCGTCTATTTTGGGTATGAAATTGATTTTTAATGTAATATAATTTGAAATTATAAATAATATTTTCAATTATAAGGTTTGCCGACAAATAGTGAAACAGAAGTGAAAGAGAAATACAGAAAACTATTGAATGAAGAAAAACAAAAAGTTTGGTATAAACTTAATGATAGATTCATAGCTAACGGAATGCCACTCAAAGAGTACCAGTATTGGAGTCCTTCTCCGTTTGCTAACATTTATATAACCCCTAAAGAGCTCGACTACACAGACATCAGGCCATTGCCCGACAATTTTCATCGATTTGATTATTATAAGCGTTCGGGAAATTTGGATACTTTTGAAATTCCCGAAAAACTGAAGAATAAATCGGGAAAATTAATATATCTATCATTGGGTTCAATGGGAAGCGGAAATGTGAAGTTAATGAAAAGATTGGTTGCAATTTTGGCCAAATCTAAGCACAGGTTTATTGTCTCCAAAGGTGTAAAACATAATGAATACGAATTGGCAGACAATATGTGGGGCGATAGGAATGTCCCACAGGTTAAAGTATTACCACTCATTAATTTAATGCTAACCCACGGCGGGAACAATACTGTGACCGAAACCATGTATTTCGGGAAACCAATGATAGTTTTACCGATATTTTTCGATCAATACGATAACGCACAGAGAGTTACTGAGAAAGGGTTTGGTTTGAGGCTTAATCCTTACGAGTGCTCTGAACAACAATTATTGCAATCCATTGAAAATGTATTGAATGACAAAACTATTGCTCAAAATTGCAAGAAAGCATCGAAAAGAATACAAAAAGAGAAATCTATTAAAAAACTAACAAAATTAGTCGAAAGTTTAGTTAAATAAAATACTGGAAAATAAAATAATATAATTTTGAGAAATTAATTACATTTCTTACAATAAATTCAAATTAACTAATTTAATTTTTATAAAATGCTATTAACTTATAATATAATATAATATACTTTTACTTTATTATATTATAATGTACTAAAGTTATTTTAATGTGATTTTGACAAAAAACAAATAAAAATGTTACTTTAAAATGAATATTTCGTTACAATAATTTTAATACAAATTAATTTAATAATAATTATATACTGTTTTACATTTAATGGGTATAAAATGTTGTTTAACTATAAATAATGCATTTCATCAAACAATTCATAGAAATAATAACATACAGTTAATTATAATACACATTAATTAATTATAATGTACAATAACAATAAAATAAGCTAGATGTAAACCAACAAGACAATTCAATGTTTATAATCATATTGTTTTGTATTAAATAAAACTATTTCTTAAGCAAGTTAAAATGCATTAATTTAATATTAAAATACAAATATTTTATTTGATAAAATTAAAGATATTATTAAATTATCAATAATGACCTTGATTTTAAAACTAATCTGTAAATGCAAAGTAAAAGCAGATAATGAAATTATGAAAGAATGTAAACATTGCACTAGATTTAACGGATTGCACTTGCTTAAAACTTTAAGAATTCTCAGTACAATTACCAAATACAGTATATAAAGAGATTTATTACATTACCAATAAGTACTTGATCAAAGTATATCATACACTTTATGTATCGTATATAAACATATTGTAATTTTTAGTATAGCAGAATAAATAATATTCAAAATTACAAATTCAATGATGTCTAATAGAAAGCTAACCGTGTTGTTCGCACCCGTCTCTTTCGTGGGACCAGTCATGTCGAGCATAGGTAT